TTTATTACGACGATTTGTTCGTGAATTTCAAGATATGTATGGAATTCAATTTTGTTCCATCAATATTCATATGCTATTACATTTAGGGAATTGTGTAAAAATGTTGGGGCCCTTATGGGCTTACACATGCTATGAATATGAAGATTTAAATGGTCAGTTATTAAAACTAATCCATGGTACAGGTTACATAGACACACAATTGGCTAGTTCACAAGACCAATTCATCAAAATGATTAGAATATTAGAATTATTGCCAAACGTTGACATTCGAAACTTTTGTATGAGGAAAAAAACAGGTCAAAATTATACAACAGATATATCCACATTGTTATAGTGTTGGAAAGTATAAAATACAACCAATTACAGATGTCATTCAAAATGCATTTGATATTAGTGGAATACCATATGATAATTTTGCAATACATCAGTACTTAAGACTTCTTTACAATATAAACTTTATATATCTAAAATGTATAGTCGAGTTTTGCAAACTGAATCTTCTATAGTACAATATTATACAAATAATGAAAAGAAATTAGGTTCCATTTATTGTTTTGTTAAGCTTTCAAATTGTAATCAACTTATTTGTGATTGTTGCCGACAGCATTATGCAATTATTTACGAAATTATAAAAAACGATGTATTTACCACCGCAGGTAATCAATTTAATTATTCTACTATGGAAATTTTATATAATTGTTATATAACAAATAATTTATACGCTGTACCTGTCAATACTCTTATAACACCTTGTATTTATATGAACGTTGATAATCAAACATATGTTGCCATACCTATTAATACAAAAGAATTTGAATAAAAATAACTTGTCTAACTTTTAATTATAAAGTTATGTCTAGATCGAGGGGAAAACTGCTGACCAAAATCTTGTACACCAATGCCCACTAATGCCCAGTGGGCATTATTTTATTTTATTGTCTTATTTTATCTTATTTATCTTGTTTAATCTTATTTTATCTCATTTTATCTTTATAATTCCCCAGCAAGGCCTAATGCCCCAAAAATGCCTAGTAATGTCTAGTAATGCCGCAAATCTGTACACCACAATGCCTTCAGCGGTTTTCCCCTCGGTCTAGATTTAGAGAGAATTTCCTTTTTGTTTTATATAGCATGATATTTAGCTAGTTTAGATATTTAGTTAGTAATTAATACAGATTGTAATAATTACAATAACTATTTAATCTATTTAGTAGAAAATTTATTGTTACATTATATGTATAGTCATCGTAAAAAGATTTTGAAATTGGATGTTGTCAAGTTCCGTCGAAGTAAGTCTTTAAACTTTATTTATTATACATATAATAAATAAATATTTAACAATTAATAAATTGTGTATGCTGCAGTTGCAAAGATTTGTGAATACTTCTAATTAATATTTGATATCTTATTTTAAATTAAACTGATTAAATTACATACATCTTATTGAGCTAAATAAAATTCTATTTTATATGATTACATACTAAATAAATGAAACATATTAAATTTATATATATATATATTAATAAGATTTATGGACAAAACCGTGTAGGAGAAGTAGGTTTAATAGAGGTCTAATTTGAACCTACCGTTCCACTAACAACCTACATTTTAATTGGACCTACATTAATGATTAAAATATCGAGAGAATTTTGAGGTTCAAAGTATCACTAGGGTAAAAGTTGTAGAATTAAAGGTTCAAAGGAGGAGTAAAAGAATATAATATTATCAAAGTAGGTTATTGCTGGTCTATGTAGGTTATGTATGATAATGTCTAGAGTCGCCCCCTGGTGTCAGCGATAACACACCAGAGAGTGAGCATCTCAGACAGCAGAGACACACACGGTGATATATATAGTCCGTGACATAACGTATGTAACCCTAACCACAAGCCGAGAGTCATTGGCACGAATAAAGAACATTATTCGTTTAAACAAGCCTTCATTAACAGTCAGAGTCATTAACAACTCATACATGGTGCCAGGTGTGTAACAGACACCTGAATAGACTGTCCTGTGATACGTGTTGTAGCAAGGCCACAAGGGTGTTGCCGACGAGAATGGAAAACAACATATTTAAGCCGCCGGAGCCCCTGCTACTGGATGGGAATGTGTCAGACAATTGGCGTCGTTTTAGCCAAAAATTTGATTTATTCATGGAGGCAACGAATCTAGACTCGAAGCCAGAAACAAAAAAAATTGCCATGTTTCTGAACTTTGTGGGTGACGAAGCCTTGGAACTGTATAACACATTCCTGTTTCCAGAGGGTGAAGAAAAGACTCTCAAGTTAGTCAAGGAGAAATTCGAAGCATAGTGTTTGCCCCAGGAAAATGTAATATTTGAGCGATTCAAATTTAACAGTATTGCGCAGAAGGAAGGACAGACTCTTGACAGTTTTGTGACAGAGCTGAGAAAAGCTATGAAAACGACTCGTTATGCTGATCCAGATGACATGATTAGAGACCGCCTTGTAATAGGTATTTATGATAAACGAACTCAAGAAAAGCTGTTAAGGGAGCCCAAGCTAACCTTAAGCAAAGCCATTGATATTTGCCGGTCAATAGAAGTCAGCAAAGACCAATCGAAAGCTTTACAAAATGAGACAACCGTGCATGCTGTGAAGCCGGAGGATCAAGCGAGCAGTGTCCCCTGTAAATTCTGTGGGTACAAGCATAAGTTTCGAAAATGTCCGGCGTATGGAAAGACGTGTACCAGCTGCCAAGGTCGTAACCACTTTGCCAAGGTATGTCAGCAAAAGAAGAAGAAGAAGCCCGATCAAGAGCCAGATCAGAAGCAGAAGAAAGTTCATGAGGTAACAAAAACATCAAAGAAAGAGGAAAGCGAAGATGACAGCGAGGAGTATGAGGTCTACGTTGATTCGGTGGAAACAAAGAGATCAAAAGCCATGTGGACCAAACGAGTGCACATTAATAACAAGAAAGTAGAGTTTAAACTTGATACAGGGGCAGAAGTGAGCATTTTGCCTGACAATATTCTTAAGCGCATTGCACCACGTGCTAAGATAGTGGAAAGTAGTATGTTATTAGTGTCTTATGGTAGTTATGATTTTAGAATTAAGAGCCTCGGATTGGTCAAACTCAACTGTTGCGTAAAGAATATATGCGCTTGCATTACTTTTGTAGTTGTAAAAGCTGATAATCAAATCCCTTTGTTAGGCTTGCAAGAGTGTTTAACGTTAAAACTTATTAAGCGAATAGATGCAATTGAAAAAGTAATGTTTAAATCAGTTAATGATGTTGTGACTAAATATCCACAAGTATTTGATGGGCTGGGGAGGTTTCCTAATCAACATCACATAACTTTGAAAGAAAATGCCAAACCTCGTATTAGTCCCATCAGGCGTGTTCCTCAAATATTGCATGATCGTTTAAAAACAAAGTTAGTGTGATCTTGAGGAAAAAGGAGTCATTCGAAAGGTAGACAAGCCCTCAGAGTGGGTGCATCCGTTAGTCATAGTTGAAAAACCAAATGGTGATCTAAGGTTGTGTCTAGATCCTAAGGAGCTGAACGATACTGTTCAGCGGGAGCATTTTCTGATACCATCAGTAGATGAAATTGCAGGAAGATTGAGCAATAAACAATACTTTACTGTACTTGACATGAAAGACGGGTATTGGCAGGTTGAGGTGGATAGCCCTAGTGCTGATCTGTTAACATTTGGAACATCATTTGGTCGGTATCAGTTTGTGCGTCTGGCTTTTGGCATATGTTCAGCACCCGAAGTATTTCAAAAGAAAAATTATGAAGTATTTGGTGACATTGACGGCGTAGGAGTGTACTTTGATGACATAATTGTAACGGGATCGTCGGAGGGTGAACATGACAGAAACTTACAATGTGTCTTGGAGAGGGCATTGAAATACAATATTAAGTTCAATAAATCAAAAATACAATTCAAACAAAGTAGCGTCAAGTTTATGGGACAGATGTTTACCAAAGAGGGGATTCAGACAAATGGAAAATATATCAAAGCCATTACTGATATGCCGATCCCGGGGTCTAAGCTAGAAGTTTTAAGATTTTTAGGTCTGGTTAAGTTTGTGGGGAAATTTGTTCCTAATTTATCTACAATTACTGCACCTTTGCGCAATCTGACACGACTTGATGTGGACTGGCACTGGACGGCTGAGCATCACGAATCTGTCAAACAGCTCAAACATCTATTAACTACATCGCCTGTATTGGCATTTTCCGTTCGCGCCGTCCCACTAACCAACGAACGAGGGCGCTACGAGTGACCAGTTCGTTGCACGAAATGGCCGCTCGTGGCGATCATGCGCAGTGGTGGGAGAGTCTGGTTGCGAGGCGCCGGAAGAAACAGTTCGTTGACCTGCTTCTTCTTCTTGGGCTCTCTCGTGGACCGACAGGACGTACACACAGACTTGTGAAATTTCTATTCCCGCTGACTTTCTTCGAGAGGTGCGTTGGGGAATTAGAATTGGGCGCTGAGAGATACTGCGAGTCTGCTCATTATGCCCAGTTTGTCTCGTCCGGATGGAAAACTATGTAGTCGTGCTCCCGCACGCCTTGTGACAACAGAGTTCAAAAATTACCGCTTAAAAAGAAAAGCGGTACTTCCCGCGCTCCCCGGTGCCTTTTGCGGGCCTTGCACGCGTCACGTCTTCATTGTGTTCTGTTCGCTTTGATAGACAACAGTGTGTTCTTTTCAAGCTCGCGTTATGTCGAAATATAAGAATTCGAGATATGATAAAGAAGAGGAATCCCCTCGAAGACATCGCAGGAGAACTCATTCGCACAGGAAGAAGTCTCGCGACCGTTCTCGCGAACGCTCTCGCGACCGTTCTCGCGGGCGCTCTCGCAAGCGCTCGCGCAGGGAGAAGTCCATATCGTCAACATCGTTTCGGCGGTCCAGGGAGACATCTTCCCGCCCTTCTCTCTCCAATGAGAGTCTCAGGGATCTGTTAAATCAGGTTCGCGACCTCATCGCGCGTCAGGATGGCGAGTCTGACCTACAACCCTACGACGGATGCCGGGAGGTTATGTCTCCGTCTGAGGAAACGTCGCAGGTTAACCCTGTTCTAGGGACGGATGCCACAGAGCAAAACAAAGAAGGACCAACGGTCAGACCATCTGACCGGGGCGTCGTACCAGGTATGTCCTCTTGTAGACCCAGTTTTTTCTTTTCCGTTGTACGGTCGAATCTGGCGAAGAGAGGACATAACCGACGGTCTCTTTTTTGCTTTAACCTCTCCTCAGCTTTGGTCATACCAGCAACTACTGGGACCATTGGTGACGACTCCCCCCACAGGGTAGCTTTCTCGGATTCCCCTACCGGGGATCCTTTGGACCCGCAGAGCCAAAATCTTATTTCGGAGACGCAATCCTTGGCCACAAGGCTGTTCGGTCCCGTCCAAGCGACTCCTGTCTCATCTTCCTGGAACCAGGTCGTTTTGAGTTCGATCCAGACAGAGTCTCAAAGCGGGTTGAATAAAGAGACTCGCACCGAGCTTTTATCGAAATACGAGGTAAAAGAGGATCTAGAGGCACTGGTCCCCCCAAAACTTAATAAAGAGCTCACAGCGGCGTTGACTCCTGCTGTTATAAAACGAGACGAATATCAATTACTCTTACAAAAGCAGGTGAGCGCTTGTCTCAATGCTTTCGGTTCCGGCGTGTCGCTTCTTTTGAAGCCAGAAGCTCTGGAAGACCTCAAGGATAACGTCAGGTCAGCACTATCATTTTTTTCTGAAGGCATACACCTGCTGTCTGACCATCAGTATCGCCTCTCCTTAACTAGGAGGGCTTTCACGAAACCCTCACTAAATATCATCGGTAAAAACGCTGCCGAAACGGCAGCCGTGGATGAATTTCTTTTTGGTAAGAATTTTGCGGATACCCTTAAAGCAGCGCAGATTTGCGAGAAGACAGGTCGCGAGATGTCCAAAACCACCCTACAAGTAGGGAAGAAAACTCTGCAGCCGATTCGCCAGACGCCTCAACAGCGAAATCAACCTCCGACATCCAGGCCTCAGTATACGGGAAACCGGAAAGTCCCTGCTCGTCTGCCGGCGGCCCGTCAAGCAGGGACGTCTCACTACAGGAACCGCCATCATCGATCCCAGTCTCGGACTCGAGCGCGACATCGACGCTAAATAATGTAAGAACGGCTGGTCGTCTAGCAAAGTTTTACGAACATTGGCTGAGCATTACTTCCGATAGGCTAGTGCTGGACGCTATTCGGGGATACCACATCCCATTTAACCTCTCACCCCCTTTGAGACCCTCTCTCCCTGAACCGATATTTTCACAACGCGGATTGTTGCGACAGAGAGATAGAACGTTTGCAGCTCAAAGGGGCTATCGCGCCTGTAAAACCTCGGATTGATTAATTCCTATCGTCTTTTTTCCTTGTAGAAAAGGCATCAGGAGGTAACCGCTTCATTTTAAATTTACGAGAACTAAAGAAACATATTAATCCGCCACATTTTAAATTGGAGGATTGGCGAACGGTTATTTGCCGCATGTTTCCAGAAACACAAATGGCCACTCTAGACCTCGAAGATGCCTATTTTTTAATCCCAATAGCAGAAAACCACAGGAGATTTCTTAGATTCCAATGGCGGACAGTGACGTACGAGTTTTCCGCATTACCTTTCGATCTATCCACGGCCCCCTATATTTTCACGAAAGTGCTTCGCCCTGTAATTAAGTATCTCCGTGAAAAAGGGTACTAATCCGTGGTCTATTTGGACGATTTTCTCCTTTTAGGCTCTTCCGTCAAGGAGTGTCGAAATAATGTTTACGCTTCTATATCTTTGTTACAGTCTCTGGGTTTCATTATCAATTATTCCAAATCTCAGCTGGAACCGTCAACAACACGCAAATATCTTGGATTTAATTTTGATTCGTATAGACAATCCATCGCCATTCCCACTCACCGCCGAGAGAATTTATTTCACCTAATAGACAGTATGTCTCATAGGTCGAAATGCTCTATTAGGGAATTCGCTAGTCTAATTGGATCACTTATCTCGGTGTGTCCAGCGGTCCAATACGGTCTCCTCTACACTAAGGATTTAGAGAGAGAGAAATTTCTATCTCTGATTGAAAATAACGACGATTATTCAGCCACCATGCAAATCCCGGCCTACCTACAGGAAACCTTTACCTGGTGGTCAAATATTTTCTCTAACCCCTCTCAGTCGAATAAGATTCGCTCAGGTAAATTTAGTCGCGAAATCTTCACTGACGCCTCTTTAAACGGTTGGGGAGCAGCTTGTGGTGATCTACGGATGGTGGTCCAGGGATGATAGGACCCTACACATCAACGCCTTACAACTCAAGGCGGCCTTTAATGGCCTTTATGTTTCGCAGCAGATCTCCATGATTGCGACGTCTTACTTCGCATAGACAATTCTACGGCTTTAGCCTATATTAACAAGTTTGGGTCTATCCAGTTTCCCCATCTCTCAAAGATCTCAAAGGAAATTTGGTGTTGGTGCGAGGAGCGTAACCTTTTTATCTTTGCCTCGTACATTGCATCTATAGAAAACGTAATTGCCGATGCAGAGTCTCGTACTGCCGACCCTGACACCGAATGGTCTCTATTTGACAGAACGTTTCGCCACATTTCCGAACGTTTCGGACCTTTTGATGTAGACCTATTTGCGTCAGCAATTAACCACAAGTGCGATAGCTATGTTTTTTGGTTCTCGGACCCAGGCTCTATTGCAATTGACGCGTTTACTTTTTCTTGGAAAAAATTGAATTTTTCTGCATTTCCATCCTTTATTCTATTGCCTCGAGTACTTAGGAAGATAGTAGATGATGAAGCAGCGGGAGCCCTGGTAGTTCCCTGGTGGCCTTCTCAGCCATGGTTCCCGCTGTTTCACCGCCTTTTAGTATCAAAGGTATTAATCCTTTCTCCTAGTCACTCTCTTCTTTCATCACCTTTCAGAGATCATCACCCATCATGGAGAACGCTTTCCCTGGGGGTCGCGAGGTTATCAGGGAAGCGTTTAAGGATCGCGCAGCCACATTAACGGCCATTCCAGCCTTACTTGCTTCATTATCGGACCATCAAGCAATACTCTTATTACCTTCGCTCCTGGTGGAACTTCTGCAATCAACATCAGAAGCCGCTCTACTCTCCATCTGTGCCGCACGTGATGGAATTTTTAGCTGGAGAATTGCCCAATTTATCGTCATACTCATCGCTGAATTCTATGAGATCAGCAATCTCACTAATTTCCCGCAATGAAATTGGTAATGACCCCATGATCAAACGTTTCTGCAAAGGAGTGGCAGCCCTCAAGCCACCCCGACCGCGATATGATTTTGTCTGGGATCCAGCTCCAGTCATAGCTAAGTTATCTGAGATTTATCCTTACGACTCAGTCAATCTGAGTGTTGTTACCAAGAAACTGGTCCTTCTCCTTGCTCTCGGCACAGGACATCGAGCCCAAACCTTAGCCTCTCTAAGAGTCTCTCAGATTTCCTTAGACGAAAAGCTGGCGATTCGTGTCCCGGATCGAATGAAAACATCGGCCCCAGGACGTTCTCAGCCTTTTTTCTATTTCTCCAGATTTGAGAACCATGAGAACATCTGCATTGTTCGTATTATGGAATATTACCTGGAGAAAACCAAGGAAATACGGCCCCTTACGTGCGATTTCCTATTTATTTCTTTAAATAAGCCATACAAAGCGGTTACTTCGCAGACTGTAAGTCGTTGGATCATACAAGGTCTAGAAGAGTGCGGTGTAGATACCTCTATTTTTTCATCGCACAGCACCAGGCATGCCTCGACCTCTCGGGCAGCAGGAAAGAGAGTTTCCCTAGATATAATTAAACGCGCGGCAGGGTGGACGGGTGAGTCCCAGGTTTTCGCTAGATTTTACAATAGACCTATTATTAATCCAGAAGATTTAGCAACGCAGTTTTGCTATAAAAAAATAATAATAATATATATTTTTTAATTAAAAAAAGTACAGATACAACATATATTCTTAGCGGCCATGATCTCTTATATCTGCGTGCGACTTTTTTTCTTTTCACTTAACATAACTTACCGTAGGTGATAAGCACTCCCCCCCGTGGAGCGCCACCTTGTCGTGGTGGGGGGGCTTAGGCGGGCGTTCGACCGGGAGCCGTCCGTGTTCCGTTTTTAGGCTCCGGCGGTTCCTTGGGTCGGGCGTCCGTTGACCAAGAGCGCTCCGAACGACCCCTCTGCAGCTCATTGCACGCCGGTGCTCCGGCTTTATGTGCCTTGAGTTGTGGGGGGGTGGCTCTCCCGTCGCTGGGCTGGACGTGGTCCTGTCTCGGCGGCGGGGGAGGGTCCGACCCTGGCGGCGAAACCGTACGTGGTGCGGGTCGCTGGGTGGGCGGACAGTGAGGGGCCGGGCCCACAGTTATACGTGGGTCAGGCAACGGACAACGCGGGCCGTTACCCCCTGTGTCTCGGGGCGACGTCCTCTTTAGGACGTGCGTCCTGGCATGGGGGGCCGGCTCCGCCCGTCCGCAACGAGGTGACGGGCTGCCGGGGCCGCTCGGACGTTTCCGAGGCGGGGCTCGGTGGCCCGGGGCCCTTCGGAGCCGCTGGGACGTATTCCCAGGTCGGGGTCCGGGGGGCCGGAGGCGGGGGGCTGTCGCTGGGGCCGGGGGTGTCTTTCTCCCCTGGCTTGCGGCGGCAGTCTCTCGGACGAAGGGGCCTTCGAGGGAGTTACGACCCTCGTTGTCCCCAGCCGGGGGGACTCCTGCGATGGCCCCCGCGTTCTAGCGGGGGTCTGCCCCGGCGAGAGAAGTGTGCATGCTGGTCGCCGCGGCGGGCAAGGTGAAGGGGGGACGGGCTTCCCCTGACACCCCATCCGTCCGCGGGGCCCCCTGCGTGGCGGCACTGTGCTGGTACCCAAGTTGTCGGAGGCTTGGGACCCCCGAAAGTCCGTAAGAACGTGTAAGGGGCTGGAGGCCAGTGTTGGAAATGTCCATCCTCCAGCCAGAGCCATGGCCTGACCCCCCGGGAGGACTCGGGGACTCCCCCAGAGATGGGGGAGTAGGGCACGCCCTGGTCAGTTAGCCAGCACAGCAGTGGGATTAACCCAAATGGAGGCACTCACAAACAGAAAGAAGAAGAAGAATAAGCCCGGCAACTCTACCGTTAACAAATGGGAAAAGTTGAAGGGAGCGGCGGAGAGGCACGCGGCCTATGGGGGTTGGAAAGGCTGCCGCAGGTGCTTCCTCTGCCAAAGAGGGAAAGGGAGTCGAGTCTTTTGGCTCGAATGACTCAAAGCCACGAACACCATGGCTGGAAGAAGAGGAGGAGAGTCCTGACCTTAGGTGGCTGGAATACTTGGAGGAATGCTCAGAGGAGGTGGCAAGAGGGGGCCAGGAGGTCGAGTACATCGAGGCCTTCCTCAGGGAAGAAAAGCCCATGGCGGAGGAGGTCAACGGGCTGATCTCCCAGCTGTCGAGATTCGACACCAAGTCGATTGAGGAATTGGAGGAGGAACAAGCAGAGCTGGAGGAAGAGATGGACCTCTGGGAGGTACATAAGGAGGACATCTCTCTTATCGTCGAGGACGCAATGGTGGGGCTGTATAAAATCTACCAGCGATACTTGGGGCAAACGGAGGAGTTAACAGTGCTCCGCAAAAAGGTCAGGGCCCTGGAAAAGGAGGGGCGCAAGAAAGAGGGGAACTTAGTGGAGAGAGCTGTCTCTCCAATAAGAATTCCTTCGCGTGAGGTATCTTCCCAAACAGTAGGGGAAGAAAGAATGGAGGAGGAAGATACCTCTCCCGAAACAGCGGAAGAAGAGGGGAATACGTCGCTGGTAGACGACGAGATGCCCACGTCGGAAGGAGTACCTACGTTGGGCAAGCAGACGGATCCGGAGATTGACCCGGCACGGAGCGGGGCACCAGAAGGGAAGGTGTCTTGGTCGGTGTACACGTCTCTGGAGAAAAGGCTGACCGACATCGAAGCCAAGCTAGAGGAACTCCTCCATGTAAGAAGGGAAGAATTACCCCTGAATAACAAGGGGAAACAAGGGGTAGGCAAGGAGGTAGGGAGATTAAAAACTCCTCCACCGGGGCCTTGAAAGGGGCAATTGAAGGAAAGGAAGCTGGGCGGCGGTGAGGGGGGTGTGCCGCGCCTT